AGAGTTCAGGCCCCATGACCAGACCCAAAAAATAAAAAAAGAACATTAAGACCCCAAGTCCTCTTTCCCACCGGAAATCTACACCCTATTAATTGGAATAATACCCCCGGAATGATATCTAGGAGGTTCTTTTCTGTGGTTTCAGACCAACATTTAAGAAGAAAAGTCTATAAGGATGATAACCTTGGGAGTCTCCCTTCCCCCCCCCCAAAAAAAATAGCTGACCATATAACTGAGGTCAAGTTCACAGTTGGCAATATCCCCCTCCCCCTCCACACACACTACAGGTTCCAATCAACTTCCAGTTCCCTTACTTAAATATAAGCACAACACCATGACATTAGGTCCTGCCTTTTCCCGCACCAAGGATGCAAACAGACACAAACAACTAGAAGGAAGCAAATAGAACTGCTCAACCCAAATAAGAAAAACCAACCAAACTGTCACTTAAAATCCTCAGATGAAAAAGACATTAACATGACAAGAACAGGCTGCTACAAAAAGGAGCACTCAAAGAGCTCTTGGAAGTTGTAACTGAGAGCAGAAACATTTGAAAATCAAAAGAAGGCAATAAGATAAAGTTGACAGAAATCCCTTAGAAGGCAGAGAAAAAGAGGTAGAAAGCAGAGAGGAGTTTACGTGGGAAAAGAATAGGAACTATTTTATGGCTTATTATATTGGTTATGTGCTGGAATAATAATATCTTGGGGCATGCTGGGTTGAATGTTAAAAAGGAATCTCACTTGTTTCTGTTTCCTTTAATAAATGGCATACTAGAACATTCTAAACTGCATGTGCAGCCCTAGTCCTAAGTGTCCTCTGCTTCTGTACATCCCATGGCTTTTTCCTCCTTCCCATGCCAGGTGCCACTCTCCTCTCTCTCTCTCCAGAATTATTCACAGCTCTTCAGATCTGAAATAACCATTCACACATGGCCGCCCTACCCCAGCTTTGTGCCCACAGCTCCAGCACTTGGCTTAAGTTCTCCCAAGCCACCTGTTTCTCTAACCTTAAGGGAACTTTCAGACCACTGAGCTCTGATCTTTCTCTCTGTCTCTCAGTCCATTCCTGTCCTCATGTCCTCCTCCACAGAACTTGTTATCTTTCAGGGCTGGGAAGGTGGTTCAGTGGTAGAGTGCTTGCCTTGCATGTATGAAGCTCTGGGTTGAATTTCTTAGCAACATATAAGCAAAAAAAAAAAAAAAAAGCTGGAAGTGGTACTGTGGCTCAAGTGGTAGAGCACTGGCCTTGAGCTGAAGAGCTGAGGGACAGTGCCCAGGCCCAGAGTTCAGGCCTCACGACAGACCAAAAAAAGAAAAAGAAGAAAGAAAGAACAAAAAAAAGAACCTGTTATCTTTCTTGACTGGTAAATGCCAGGGATGGAAATCCAGAATCTCACACAAGCTCATAAGTACAGGCACCCTCCA